CATTGTTTTTGCCTTTTCATGTCTACTCTTGCCATTTTATTTTTAGAAAAACTGAGTCCTGGTGTCCTCTACAGAGGACATAGCATAACTTGTGAATAAAACATAATTTTTCAAAAATGTTATTTTACCATTTTTTTCTTATGCTCTAAACAATGTAATGACATGAAAAAATACTAAATTCACAAAGCTTTTTATTTCTGGTTCTCAGGAGATAATCAAAGCTCATTTACATATGTACAGTAATACTGTATATACTGTATGCACACAAATACAAAATGGTATAGTGGTTACACACATCATATGTGACTCATGACACTAACATATTTCAATAAACAATAATTTAACAACATAAGATTTGACATAAACCTTAAGGTCCATAACTGGTAAGAAAGAACTAAGAAGAAACAGAATTATTTCAAACAAATGTCATACAGGGAATTCTGGGAATTTCCATTTGCAATTTTTCACTGTAATTTATAAGATGACTTGTTCGTTTCCCAAAACTGTAAATTTAACAGTATATTACTTTTTAAATGTTCCGTTAGATTTATTTACGTTTTTTCACCATAATAAGGGAACCTATACCATTAATCAATTAACAGGTTTTTACTTGAGCACTCTTACAGTATTTTTACTGTTAAAATAAAAAAAATTACAGTGTGTATCCTCCTTAAGTGTTTTTGCTTTCAAACTGAGGTTAAAGTAATGAACTATGCATTTGTTTTTTACGAAGCATTCTGCAACCCTATCTTTCAAGACTGGAAATCATGAATTTAACTGTGAATATTTTGTTCTATTGACAGAGTTTTTTGCATACAGTTCTGTTAATAATAATAATAATTATTATTATTATTGGGATTAGTATTAGTATGCCATATGACTGACAGTCTTGCTGTTATATCATGTTTTCTTTCTTGTGTAAAAATAATACTGTAACAGGAAGAAGCAATCATTTAATAAGTGCTCTTGAGGATTATGTCTCACGTTTTATCCTGCCTATAGTCATTTGAGCGGGTGCTGGTGGAGAACAAACTCCACGGGCTCTCTCCAGCCCTCACTGAAGCCATCCAGAGCATCTCTCGCTGGGAGCTGGTCCAGGCTGCTCTGCCTCATGTTCTCCACTGCACTGCCATCCTTCTCTCAAACCGCAACAAGCTGGGTAGGAACCCTTATTAAACTACAATTTCTATGTCCTTTGTACTCTGTGTGTTTGGGTGAGTTCATTCTGTGGTTAATTTTATTGATTAGCATGTCTGCAATCTCTCTTCACCAGGACACCAGGATAAACTCGGGGTAGCTGAAACGAAACTCCTTCACACTCTACATTGGATGCTTCTGGAGGCGGCCCAGGAGTGCCACCAGGAGCCTGGCCTGGGACACGGCTGGTCTGGGGGCAGCAGTGGTAGCAGTAGTGCCTACCTTCAGCCCATGGGGAACCAGGGTCTCACAGACCACAATGGCAGCACAACTGAAGAGAATGAATATGCCCGTGCCAAACTCTACCACAAGAACATGGCCACTGTGGAGCTCTTTGTGTTTCTCTTTGCCCCCCTCATTAACCGGATCAAGGTTGGAACTTTTACTGTTGATATTATTTATTTATTTTCTCTGCAGGGCTCAACAATATGGATGTCCTGCTGGCGCAAGGCCAGTGTGAAAGAGTTCATGGAAGTGGCTGCATTGCCACTGAAAATATTACATCATTGATATTGTGCATTCATTTTAATGGCTTAGTTTTCCATGATCTGTTCTATGTTGTTGCTGTAAATTCTTCTGATTTGTCACAAGATAATGTTATCTAGGTGGCAAACATAGATGAGATTAGCAGAAGTGAGTTTCATTACAGCTGTATAATTTCTAGCTTGTTGTAAAAAAAAATGTTTAATATAAATTAAAATAAAACATATTCTAATTATTATAGAGTAATATAATATTTATATTATTTAATTATAATTATTTAATCATTTCAGTATTTTAAAGATGAAAAATGTTACCTTAACATTAGCTGAAAAATAAATATTTCTAGCAAATATAAAAATATAAACTGATAATTTTTTGTGGTGGGGCAGATTACAATTTTTTATGACAAAGCAAGGAAAATGTTATTGTTGAGCCCTACTTTATCAGTTCAAAATCCTTAATTGTATGGCTGTGAATGTACTTTTTTATTTTTGCAAATAATGATTTATTCATTTAGCTTAAACTGCTAAAATATGTTGATCATTTTGCATTTGGCAGGAGTCTGACCTCACCTTTCGACTGGCTGGTGGACTTGTTATTTGGCAGCCAATGTGGGAGCACCGTCAACCTGATGTTCCTGCTTTTTCTGCCCTTGTCAAACCCATGCGTAACATTGTTACAGGTCAGATTTCTGTAATTTTTTTACGGTTCTTCTATCACTTCTGTCCTCAACAACAATTACATTTTTGCTGTGTTTTACCAGCGTTAAACCCAAAATACAATTCTATCTTTGCTCATTGTTCTTTATGTGTGTACATCGTTCATGCTTCACACATCTGCTATCTCTGTTATATTCTCCACAGCAAAGAGGAATTCTCCAGTGAATAACCAGTGTAGTCCTCATGATACCAGTAACCCATGCCCTGCAGTGAGTATTCAGACTGTGATTTGCAGCTGCACAGCCCCTTGTGGCTCATTTAGTCCTGGTGTATATTAATTTCCTCTGGTAGTGCATTAACATCATTGTTCAGCTGGGGTCATGTGATTTCCTCTTCTATCTCGGCTTTCAGGTGGTATGTGAATCAGACCAGCCAGACTCCTCCTCCCCCTCGGTGACAGGACAGAGCTGTCGCCGTGGCAACTCTGTGGAGAAGGGAGGGTCCTCACAGCAGGCCTTTGAGAAAGGATTTTCACAACCAAAGAAGTGAGTGTTTGTACATACAGGTGGTGCATGTAGCAGGTTCCTATTTATTAATCTGTTTATCATGAAATAATAATGACAAAATACTTTTACAGTAATTATTATAATTTCTACACTACCAGTCAAACATTTCTGAACAGTAAGATTTTTTATGTTTTTTTAAAGAAAGTCTCTTCTGCTCACCAAGCCTGCATTTATTTGATCCAAAATACAGCAAAAGCAGTAATATTTTGAAATATTTTTTACTATTTAAAATAACTGCTTTCTATTTGAATATTGCAAATGTAATTTATTCCTGTGATCAAAGCAAAATTTTCAGCATTATTACTAGTGTTTACTGTTAAGTGTCACATTATCCTTCAGTAATCATTATAATATGCTGATTTGCTGTTCAAGAAATTTTTTTTATTATTATTGTCAATATTTAAAACAGTTCAGCATTTATCTGAAATAACATTTTTGTAACATTATACACTATACCATTCAATATACAGTATATATATATATACCTTTTTATTGGGGGGGGGGGGGGGTGTGTGTGTGGGGGGGGGGTTATAGAAATTAATACTTTTATTTAGCAAGGATGCTATACATTTCTATTTGAGAGAAATGCTGTTCTTCTGAACTTTCATTTATACCGTATTAAAACATCATTATAACATACTAAATAATGTTAACAAGTTGAACCTTATTGTAAAGTGTTGGCAAAAATTGTATCTATTACAATCTTCTAAAAGAAAAGATTTTAAAGCATTTTTTCTTGAAACTCATCCTATGTTGGCTAGATAAGTAGTGTCCAGTTCCAGTCAGACTCCCATCTGTCACGGTGTTAGTCTGTGCATGTGTTCGCCCTGCAGTTGCCAAGCAACGATCCTGAGCAAACTCAGTCTGAACTTCTGTTCTTTCTGACCATCATTTTCTGTAACAAATCTCTCTCTCTCTTTCTTTGACGGAAAGTTTCTCAGTACCTGGTGGCATCTCTGTATCACAGCGAGCAAGGTATGCCACCTATTTTGATGTTGCAGTGCTGCGTTGCTTGATGCAGCCTCACTGGACAGAAGAGGGTGTGCACTGGGCCCTCATATACTACCTGCAGCGGCTGCGTCAGATACTGCAGGAGAAGCCTGAACGCCCCCCTGAGCCCCTGATACCCCCCTTACCACGGCCCCGCAGTAGTTCCATGGTGGCTGCTACCCCTTCTTTGGTTAATACTCACAAAACACAGGTAACAATCCTATGTTAGTAACTGACTGTGTGTTTTTACATAGTAGTTTCAGATGGTAATGGGCAGTGGCATATCTGTATTTAGGTTCTGGTGGGGCCAGGCTTTGAAATATATTCTGTGATCATTAATTCATTTAAAATTGTGATTTGGTTTTACCATAAAATAAACTTGTACATTACATACACATTACAACACTGTGTATTATGTGGAAGACATGTAACTGTTATCAGATATTAAAAGCCCAGCAGATATTTATATAAATAAGCAGGTTATTATTTTTATGCTATGGTCGATAATCAATAATGGCCAATATTAAAATGCCATACAATCTGGATAATTTGACTAAAAAAATATAAACATCCATTGCAATGCAATGATATAGTACAAGTGAATTTAGGCATCACAGCCTTTTATGAAATTAAAAGTAAAAAAAAATATTTTGGATTGTATATTTAAAGGTTAAGTGTAAGATGATAATCTTAATGTAAAGTAATCTTAATGTAAAAATAAAGGGAAATTTAAATGCACAATTTAATATCTAATACCAGATGATGTACACTCAATAAAAACCCATACTGATAGAAAACAATAAAGAAAAATTACAGATATGGTACTAATTGTCACGCTATGGTGGGTGTACTAAAGCACACAACGATGGAGATAAGTAACAAACACAGCCTTTATAAATCCACAAATGACACTCAGGAAATTGTAGGAGAAACTGACTTATGAGAACAAACAAAGGAACTGAAGAAACAGGGCTTATTTAACAGGAATGTAATCCAGTTAAAACAGAACAGGTGTACTGTGGACATTAAAAAGGATGAGGAACACAGGCAAACAGGCACAGAACATAGTGAAAAGTAAATCAAGACGGAAAATTACCCTGATACTAATAATATTCAGTTAATATTTTGTTGATGAATTGTGTTTTGTGAGATAATCAAGCCATTCAATGTGGATGGTTTAAATGCATTTTTGCTTGATATAAAATTACTAGATGTTTTGTATGAGCCCCCATGTTAGACTTGGTAGCTGACTGATTTTGCCTCTCCAGAAATAAAAATCCAAAGATGCCACTAGTAAATGAGGAATAGGGATAACTGAGCAATCTTACAATTGTTAATTTTGGACAAAATCAAGTTCATTATACACGATCAGGATGTGCGATTGCTACTTTAAAAGATGTGTAATGAACTGAAATACTATTATTCAACATTTTAACCACCATAAGTCAAAGGTTTTTAAAAAATGCATACCTCTGATACCCTGTTTTTTTCTTTGCCATTTTTCTAAGGACATGACTCTAAAATGTAATGAGGAAAGCAGGTCTTTGAGCTCTGAGACCTTCTCTAAAGTGTCAATTACCAACCTCAGGAGACCAGCAGTCCCTGACCTCTCAACTGAGATGGGTATGAACATATTCAAAAAGGTATGCAGATTATTTTTTATGCATAGTTTCAGACAGTAAATCAATATGATATATTAAAATTTTTGCAAAACCTCTAATAAAATGTTGATATCATTTTCTTGACTTACACTATGCCACTATGCACTTTATTCTATTATTCTTGCCCCTTTTTTTACTTTTTTTACAGTTTAAGAACCGTAGAGAAGATCGAGAGAGAAAAGGCTCTATCCCATTCCACCATACTGGGAAGAAACGCCAGCGTCGAATGGGTGTACCTTTCCTTATGCACGAGGATCACCTGGATGTCTCACCCACACGTAGCACCTTCTCATTCGGAAGCTTCTCTGGACTGGGAGATGACCGTCGCACACTGGACCGTGGGGGTTGGCCTTCCACTATCATGGGTATGTAGGGTCCTATGAAATCCATTTTATTTCTTTATGCTGTGTTTTTTCTAGATAGTTTTAGTGCTCTAACTTTGAATAATCAAAAAGCTTTCATGAAACTTTAACAATTTAATAATTTACTTTACATTTTTGTAAAGTAATTGGGCCCTTTTCCCAAATTTTATTTACATTTTTTGAGATTCTGTGATTTATGGTTTAATGCATTTGCCCTGCCCATACAAATTGTGCATTCACAAATTGCTTGCACTTGTTTGAGGTTGGTTTCAAATTATTGTCATATTGTGGTTGTGTTTTGTTGTGTTGAAGGGAAGTTAACACGTCGTGGAAGCTCAGATACTGCCGGAGATGTGGACAGTCTTGGAGCAAAACATTTTCACTCCCACCACAACTTGCCTGAACACTCCAACAGTCACAGTGACAATACCATCAAAGAGGGTGGTAAGCAAATAAATAGCACTATCACAGTATTAATTCTAAATCTATTGCAGTTAATCTTTCATGGAATTAATAAAGATTAATAAAATACAACAGGGGTTTTCAAACTGCGGGCCACAGTGAGATGCTGTGCTGAGGGTTCGCTGAACATTTTAGAGAAAAAAATAAATATACAAATATATTTGAATTGTTAATAATCATTTGTGCTTTTGACTCATTGACTTCTTTCTCAGTTCGTTCCCAGATCTCCACCATCACCATGGCTACATTTAACACAACTGTGGCTTCCTTTAATGTAGGCTACACAGATTTCTTCACAGAGCACATTAAGAAACTGTGTAACCCCATTCCCATCCCTGAGATGCCATGTGAGCCGCTGGCCTGCTCCAACCTTCCCCGAAGTCTGACAGACTCCTGCATCAATTACACATCGTTAGAGGACCGAGACACTATTGAGGGCACTAACAACTTCATTCTGAAGAATGGCTTGCTGGACCTCATGGTAAGGAGTGCAGCCTCGAGCAAAGGGGCACGTGTTTAGTGTCATAGAGAGACAAATTTGCTTATACACTTTCGGTCAAAAATTTGAATAATTAGGATTTTCTTACATTGTTAAATGAAGGCTCGTATTATACTAATATGCTTATTCTGATTTGATGTACAGTTATCAGCAATGGTTCTTATTAGGGATGCACCAGTATCGGTATCAGTACTCCTACTCGTTAAAATGCCCCGATATCAAATGCCGATACCACACAGCATGTGATAATGCCATATTCAGACAAAAAATACAGACAACTGACAGCAGAATGGAGTTATTATAGATTAAAGATGTCTACGAAGTATATGTATGCAATGAATATAAAACATTCAGTATTAATGCCTGTATAGCTGATTTGCGCCAGCTGGTAAGCAAATCACTCTGAGTGGATTGAGCGCACGGCGGCGCAGATGCGTGAGCTTGTCAGTGAATATCCCTTTCTCACAGACATCACTGGAAAGTTTGTAGTTCGGTCGGATATGTCAAAAAGAAGTAAGTAAAACAATGCACACGTTACTTAATGGTAGGGAGCGAGAGAGAGAGAGCGCACTTCTGTTGTGTGATCTTTATTGATGTTCGCTCACTTAGCACGCATCATTTGTATTAAAACTAAATCATAAATATAGGACAATTTATAGGGGCATTCACTATAAACGTCATTTATTTTCACCCTTAAGCATACACGACTTTCTGGCGAAAGTGAAACTAACAGCCTGTGTGAAATGCGCAAGGCTGTACTGTACTTGTCCCTCTAATTCTTCACCAGTAGCCTACAAATACGTGTGCGCTGTTTTGCTTGCTTCATGAGTGTTTCTGCATTATATGAGTGGCTTTGGAAAATAAATCGCTGCACATTTCAGATGAAAAAACACGACTTCTATTTATGAAAATACCTTGGCACAGTTAGGAGATTTATAGCAAGTGGTTCCCTGCGTTTTTACAGCAAATTGCGTGATTACAGTACTAAGCCGCTGCAATGGAGCAGCTCTAATGTTATTAAATTAAAGATGATGTAGGCTACCATAGAGAGAGGAAAAAAATTAACAGTGAAAGCAACAAAAATATGTAAAATACATTTTAATGGGCATAATTAAGTGTGAAAATAACAGAAGGATATACAGTCAAACCAAAAATTATTCAGAGACCAGATGTCGTGACCAGATGTAAGTGAGAATAGCAAAATAAACTAAACTGTGATATATTATACCCAAAAATTCTTTATGCAGTGGACTACCAGTAAAATTTATTCAAATTTGGGACCAAAAATTATTCAGACTGAGTCTGGGAAAAAAATTTAAGTTCATTTTTGCATGAACCTGGTTGACAGCATGCCCAGGAGACTATATGCTGTCATTAAGGCTAAGGGTCACCCGACAAAGTATGGATAGCTGTATGAATAATTTTTGGTCCCAAATTTGAATAAATTTTACTGGTAGTCCACTGCATAAAGAATTTTTGGGTATAATATATCACAGTTTAGTTTATTTTGCTATTCTCACTTACATCTGGTCACGACATCTGGTCTCTGAATAATTTTTGGTCCCAAATTTGAATAAATTTTACTGGTAGTCCACTGCATAAAGAATTTTTGGGTATAATATATCACAGTTTAGTTTATTTTGCTATTCTCACTTACATCTGGTCACGACATCTGGTCTCTGAATAATTTTTGGTTGATTGTAATCCATTACATACCTTTCAATCAGTTATCTGACATTATCAAGCTGAATATGTTCTGACACAGTTCTTGTCATATTTTATTACCATTTTCTAAACTATAGCGAATAAACTGTGATAATGTGAGAAATGTTGAAGGTGTCTGAATAAATTTTGGTTTGACTGTATCTATTTGATAAATGAAGTTAACCAACTAACATTATACATACTCTTTTGGTTTCTGTACCCAATATTTAAAAAATGTACAAATGCAATGAAAATATTGGTATCGGTACTCTGTATCGGCAAGTACCAAAAATAAAAGTATCGGGCGAGTACTGGAAAAAGTGCTATCAGTGCATCCCTAGTTCTTATTATTATCAGTGTTTTTTTTCTGCTTAATATTTTTGCGGAAACCGTGTTTTTTCCAGGCTTCTCAATAAATAGAAAATTCCATTTTTAAAATGGAATTCTTTTTAAAGATGACAAATGTCTGTAGTCACTTTTTATTGCTAAATAAAAGTATTGATTTATTTGTATTTTTATTAAATCGTACCCTAAACTTTTAAATGGCAGTGTATCACAGTTTACACAAAAAATATTAAGCAACACAACTTTTTTTTAACATTAATAATAATAATAAATGTTTCTTGAGCACCAAATCAGCATATTAGAATGATTTCTGAAGGAATATGTGACAATGAAGGCTGCTGAAAACTCAGCTTATAAAATATATTTTAAAATAAATTATAATAGAAAACAGGTATTTTAATAATTGTAACTATTATTTTATTAATATTTCACAATATTACTGTTTTTACTGTATGTTTAATAATGCTGTCAAACAATTAATCAAGATTAATCGGATCCAAAATAAAAGTTTTTGTTTACATAATATATGTATGTGTGCTGTGTATATTTATGTATATATAAATACACACACATGCATGTATATATTTCAGAAAAATGTTATGTTTATATATTAAAGATATTGATATTTATTTATTATTTATAATGTAAATTATATAAATATAGACATGTACATACATGTAAATATTTTCAAAATACATTCTGTATGTAATATATACATAATAAATATACACAGAACACACACATATATTATGCAAACAAAAACTTTTATTTTGTATGCGATTAATTGCAATTAATCGTTTGACAGTACTAATTTTTAATCAAATAAATGCAGTCTTGGTAAGCATTAAAGACTTCTTTAAAACATAAAAAAAAGTAATTACAGTATTTCAAACTTTTGACTGGTAGTGTTTAGATTGGCCATTAACTTCTGAAGAAAATGTTAAAATTATTTTAGATTTAGTTCACCCCATTAAAGCTTGAAAAGATCTGACCATATGGTTCATATTATGAGTAGTGTTGCCTTTCCTGTTTACCGCTATGGTGTTTTTTTAAGGCTATTCTGCGGGCCCTGTATTCCGTACTCACCCATGACATCAGTTCTCGGATTTGCGACGTGGCGCTCAACATCATCGAATGCCTCCTGCAGCTGGGGGTGGTGCCCAGTGTGATGAAGAAAGCCTCCAAACCTGAAGACAAAGAGGCGGAGCATCTGAAGGAGGGAGCCAGCCAGAGTGTGGGTGGAGCTCAGGGGGAGGCGGCTGGAGGCACAGGAGCAGCACCTAATGGAGGTGGTGGAGGAGATGGAGGAGGAGGGGGTGGAGAGAGTCGTGGAGGAAGCAGAGATGATATAAAGAATAACAAGGACAACCAGGTAAGACAGTTAATATATATGTTGTAAATGAATATGTGTGAGTAATTATCACATGTAAGATTTCATGTATTTTTAAAATCATCAACAGGATGGAGACACTTCACTCAGCACTCACAGGTTGGCTCTCACCATGCTCATTAAGATCGTAAAATCACTTGGCTGTGCGTACGGTTGTGGTGAAGGCCATCGTGGGCTTTCTGGAGACCGCCTTCGAATGCAGGTCAATATATGTGTACAATTAAAACATAATTTTACAGTACAGATTAACCTTTTTTTAAGAGATTTAATCACTGATCTCTGTTAGACAGCATTATGTTGATTTGCTGTCAGACTAGCCCACTATTAGTTATAGACTACTATTAGTCATGTGGTCAGATGATATGGATTTCATAAAATATGTAGAATATAGTACATTTGCATGTAACAGTTTGTCTCCAACAAAGGTGAATGACCAGATGCTCTGTCCTATTTTTTAGGCGCAGAATTGTTTGACTACTCTGTACACGCTGGATAAAGTGCAGTTCCGTCAGACTATGAAAGAATACGTTAATAAGGATTCGCTCAACAATATTGTGGATTTCCTGCATGCCCTACTTGGCTTCTGCATGGAACCAATCACTGACAGTAAGAGGGCAGAGCTGCACTTATTAAGTGCATGTCTTTAACATGCCCAGGCATATTTTTTAGTCCCTTTTCTGAAATCTCCAAAGATACAGCATGAGCCCCATTTTCATGCATCAGTAATAGAGATGGATTTGTCTTTTCCTAAAAGATTTTTTTTTCAATTTGATTTACTGAGCTTTTATTTAAAACTCAGAATACTGTAAATTGACATTTAAAATGTTGTATTTAAATAGAACATTACCAGTCAAAAGTTTGGACTAATTAAGATTTTTTTTAAATGTTTTTGAAATAAGTCACTTATTCTCACCAAGACTGCATTTATTTTATTAAAAATACAGCAGAAAGATAATATTACAATTTAAAATAACGGTTTTCTTAAAAAAAAAAATCATTTATTCCTATGATTGTCAGAAACGAGACCGGGATCCAACAGCAGGTGAAACAAAAAATTCAAAGTTTATTGAAAACTGTGATGATAAAAAAAAATGCTCAGTCAATAAATCAGCCAGATAGCAAATCCGCCAGCAAATAGTCAGCTTGATCAGCACGGATGTCAGACCAGCCTCTGCCGAGCCCGCAGAGAAGAGAGGCGGCGAACCGGCAATTGAAAGCCACCACTGAATTCCAGAGGTAGTGCCAAGCGTGGGCAGAGAGGAATCGGAAGGGGCTGCCGTGAAGAGACAGGCCTATGATAAGAGAGAGCCTAGGCAGAGAGCCGACCAGAGTCCTAGAGGGGCAGGCGGGTAAAAAAGGGGATGGTGACAAAAACAGGAACGCCAGACCGACTAGACTAGAAAAAGATACATAACAAGTCAATACAAGACTGGGTCAGAAAACACAGCATGCACTGAGACGATCTGAGCTACAGCACAACACATTACGGACTGACACAAGAGAGCAACCATGAGGGCAAGATAAAGGGAAGATAATGAGGACAAAACGGGGTGCAGGTGAGGAGGGAGAATTAGCTAACAGGGATAACGAGAGGGGCGGGGGAAACACCAGGATGACAGCAGAACACATGGCGAGCGGCAAAACAAAAGGCCATGTGCTCCATGACAACAAAGCCTAAGCAGACCCCACCGAGATCGTGACAGTGATGGCTAAGCTGAATTTAGAATTTATTCCTGTGATGTTAAAGCTTAATTTCACCATATTTGAATGATTTCTGAAGGCTCACGTGACACTGATGACTGGAGTAATGGCTGCTGAAAATTCAGCTTTGCCATCACAGTTCTTTCTTTTTCTTTCTGTCCGTCCGTCCGTCCATCTGTCAAACTCCACTGTTTGTACCCCAGTCCCTCATCACTCATCCTTTCAGCAGACTTGCCAAACATCATATTGACAGTGTCCATTTTTATTGTTTGTATTTTTGAATTTTATGGAATCAAAACAGCAAGATAAGCTGAATTTCGATTGATTTCTGGCAAGTTAGTGAACATGAGTGACTGTTATGAAAATGATATCCCTATGTTTTTTTTGGGCCGTCTTCTTTTTGCATCTGTGGGTGTGCGTCTGTGCGTGGATGTGTGTTTTGGAATGAGTTGGTGTTTCCTGACTTACGAGTACATGTCTGTGCTGGCCTGACACCAATGTTGCCCACCATCTTTTCTCTTGCAGAATACGGCAGTGCAGGTGAGAGGTCCAGGAGGGCGAATAAAAGAAACATCGGTAGATACACAATATCTAAATTTATTGCCAAAACTAGGCATTACACCCATTCCTGCACCCCTCACAATGTCCAGGGTGATGTTCTCGCCTGTAGTAGAGCTAAACAGTGCTTAGGCCTTACCGAATAAACAATCTAAAAACCGGCTTTATAGATCCAGCTAAACTAAACTCAACATTGCTGTGAAAGCAGAGCATGACCTGATTGTTGGGTCTATTACTATCTCTCAGGCCACAGTCACTTGCATGTATGCAAACCTTCAAAACCCCGCACAAATGACTTTTTAGGTTTTCCTATCATACGTGCTATTGATTTTCCCCCTTTTCATCTTGTAAACATCAATGCTTCCTGCTTCCCTTTATTGTTTGGCACTTATGGCTGAGCCTCAGTGATTTTGCCCCGACATGGCAGCCAGGTCACAGTTTTTCCTCTGAGGTGACTTGTTTGTGTTTGCAGACAAGGCTGGCTTCGGGAACAACTTCACCACTGGAGGAGACAAGTCTCTGGCCCAGAGCATGGGGACTGTGGTGGTGGGCTGCATGTTCAAGTCTCTCATCACAAGATGTGCCTCCACTACACATGAGCTTCACAGTTCTGAGAACCTGGTGAGAGTACTGCATTTAACTCATGAGTTGTCAAAAGTTTGGGCTTGAGTTTACATTTGGTGAAAGTTACACTAACCAGGCACCACACAATAAAACAACAAGTGAAAAGGCATATCGTTGCTAATTCAATGTTAATAGTATCATGTAAGCAGCATGTTTAAACATGAAAATATGAAATCCCATATCCTAAAACAACACACTTATCTCTGGTGACGTATATCAGGCTTCTCCAACCGTCAGTCTGTGTAAACCCTATCCCTTTCTTATAATAGACTGTAAGTTCACATTTAGATCTGCGTCAATCCAATCAACAAATAACTACTCTACATTTTTGGAGGACAACACACATTAATCAACATTTCTGTAAATGTGCTAGTGTTAGCCAGCAGGCTAATTTTCAAGTGCAGTCTTTTGGCAAGATGTTTTGAAACCTTTAAAAAAATCTAAAAGTATAAAACAGCCAAAAAAATCAACACATTAACGCAATTAAAAACAATCAACTAGCCATGCAAGCACACAAAGCACACAAAGCGACAGCACACAACCTTCAGTAGGTACATGAAGGCATGCTGGGAAAACATTAAACTTACATAAAACACAGCAGACACAATTATGGGTTAATAAAATAAAAACACACACCTAAATTGTATAACATCACTATAAAAGAGCATACCAGACAATTAATAAAATACTAATAAAATAATCCAAACATACCCAAACCATGCATTTGACTGCCTGACAATGAGCAAAGGACATGAAACATGTTAACAGTGGGTTAAGATGTTTTGAAACCTTTAAAAAAATCTAAAAGTATAAAACACATTTAAAAAAAATCAACACATTAACGCAATTAAAAACAATCAACTAGCCATGCAAGCACACAAAGCACACAAAGCGACAGCACACAACCTTCAGTAGGTCCATGAAGGCATGCTGGGAAAACATTAAACTTACATAAAACACAGCAGACACAATTATGGGTTAATAAAATAAAAACACACACCTAAATTGTATAACATCACTATAAAAGAGCATACCAGACAATTAATAAAATACTAATAAAATAATCCAAACATACCCAAACCATGCATTTGACTGCCTGACAATGAGCAAAGGACATGAAACATGTTAACAGTGGGTTAAATAATAACAACAGTAATAATAAAATGAGCAATAAACTACATAGATTAAAATTTATCACGTCTGATTTTTTTTAAAAGCCAGGTTTTAAGACTTTGTCTTAAGGAGTGGTACAATTTGTTATTTCAATTGGAAGTGTGGAACTGAAAATAATTTCACAGTCCCCTCTCTGAGCGGATCTTGTAGATCTGTTGTTTAAATTTTTCTGCTTAATAAAAATACTAAGTGGTGGAGGAGCTTTTCCATTTAGGTTTTTAAACATCAGACAGGCGTCAGTGTATTTTGTTAGATTTTCCCAGTTAAGGATATCATATTTGCCCAAAATATCGCAGTGGTGGTAAGTATTGGGTTTTCTGTCTAACACTTAATATATGCCTAGTTCTTGTACAAGGAGAGAATAGGCTTCAGTGTTGTACCTTTAGCTTGAGACCAAATTGTCATACAGTATGTTAAGTGAGAGATAATCATTGAATAAATGTATATATAATTTTGCTGCTGTAGTTGTTCAGCAGTTTCTTATATACCTAAAATTATCCAGATTGTATTTAGTTATTTGCAATACTTTCTTCACTTGTTTTTTTGGATTATTTTTCAATAATCCATTTTAATCAGATGTAGGTCACAATACAGAAAAACTAAATTGTCACTATTTCTGTTAAATCGCGAATTTAAGTCACACTGTGGGATGTAAAATTGCAAGAATAAGGTCACAAATTGAGAAACAAGGTTGCAAATTATGTGAATAAAGTCACAAGTTGTGAGAAATAAAGCCATAAATTAATAGAAATAAAGTTGCAAGTGCGAGAAATTAAGTTTTATTGTGAGATCGCAATTACATTACTTTTTTTCACTGTGAGGTGGAACTGAGACAGATTTGTTCTGATTGGCTGTGGTTTGTGATTGATATCATCACATCATGCTTCATTTTCGCATTCAGTATGAAGTCCAGTGTTGCCAATTTAGCAATTTTGTTGCTAGATTTAGCAACTTTTCAGATTACCCTAGTAACCTTTTCTTCCAAAAGCACCTAGCAACAAATTTTGCTATTTTTAAAATTTATTTGGCAACTTTTAGCAACTTTTGATAAATGACTCAAGCGATAAAAAGGCACACCTTTTCCATCTAAATGACAGAAAAAGGGGAAACCAAAGATAGCAGTACACACGTCACATGAATTAAGTTAGCTGCTATTTGCAATTTATCAATAATAATTAGGTGTGTTCGGCTTGAAGTGCCGCTGCGCAGACCAATCGGTGTATGACGTCAAAGTACCGCTTTGTGATACACCTTGTTAGTAGCTAGTACCTGCGATTGTTAATCAGTTGGTACACTGTAAGAAAAATATCTAGAAAAATGGAAAAGCTACTAGTAATTTTCCAGGACATTATCAGTAATCCATTATCCGTTATAACCCTGTAATCCGAAAACACAAAAAACAATGCGTAATTTCAAATGCAGGTAAAAAAACCTGTGAAAAATCAATATGAAAAATTCCTTCATATTAACATATAGACTATTTTTACAGACTTTTCTTAGAGTGTAGCATACTAAATAACTACTAATACACTGCTTAAAACTATAATTGTTTAGTTTTACTAGTTTACTAGCTAATAAAAAATCTTAAATTGTAATTGTTAAAAAATGTGTTTAATAATTCAATGTTGTATTTAAAAATACACTCATTTATATTTTAATATTATATAATATTATATTATGCATTTATATTATTTTACGAACAAATCTAAATTAACATATATATATATATATTATTTAACATTACTTTTAGTTCTAATAACAAAAATTAAAAATATTTGTGTGTTTCGTTAACTATAATAAATTAATGTACACACAAGACAAAGTAAAATGAATTAACAATAATTATACTCAGTCAATATGCACACACAAGGTGGGAAAAGGGGGTTATATTTGTCAGGTCCCACCAGAAACTTGGTCAGTGTTACTGTGATTATTATTGCAATCATTTTTCTTCCTCACCTAATTTCTTTCTTGGGAATAAAGCTGAACTTTCATGGCAGACAATCAGTCATTGCTGTAGAGCTATTAGTCAGGAAGTCCTTGATTCGAGTTTTTCTGTACATCTCAGGTCAAGTTCACCAGTGCTGTGAAGCTGTCGGAGGGTAGCGCTATCGAATATGGGCGAGAGGAAGAGGAGAATTTCTTCAAGCGGCTCGGTAAATGGCGGTCTGGTCGGAGGAACCCTTCCAAGCTTCACCACACAGAAGAGAAAGATGGTAGAATCCTGGGGTGCCTTCCCCCACCCCCGTCCACAGTTTGCTCTGTTTGTTTATTTGTGTGTGTGCCCGTACTTGACGTGTCTTGTGCTTCTGGTACACTCCTCTACCATCTTCCATACCAGCTCTCTGTGTGTTTGTCCATCTTTGTCAGAGCCATCTGCTGGAAGAGGGACTGTGGTTCTCTGACCTATGACCCGGCACCATGACCCGTCACAGCTTTGTCTGAGTTGTCGTGAACCTTCAGCTCTCCAAGTTAATAGTTAATAGTTATTAGATGTTTATTCGGGGGATTTCAGAAGTCATAGTTTGATTTGCAAATCTTGAGTATTCTTGTTGTTTCAGACTAGTGCCAAAAACAGCCTTGCATGTTCATTCGATATCACCAGATGCATATTTCATAAGCTATTTTCAGCTGTTTATGTAGTAGAGGTTCTACACTCCTTTCACTGACACCGTTCTGTACCACGACAAGGTTGCCATGGATTCCAGGAGCACTTGGCCGCCAGTCAGGAGGCCATGAAGAATAAGAACATTGTGAATCTAGGTGCAATCAGACAAGGCATGAAGAGATTTCAGTTCCTGTTGAACTGCTGTGAGCCGGGAACCATACCAGATGCTTCGATTTTAGCAGCAGCGCTGGACCTGGTCAGTTCTGTTTCTTTTGTTTATATATATATATATATAAATGGTGTCACATTACTTTTGAAACATATATACTAGACTGTAAAATATACAGAGATAATATACCTCTATATATAGGGAGAGATGTGACCCTGGACCACAAAACCAGTCATAAGGGTCAATTTCTCGAAATTTAGATTTATACATCATCTGAAAGCTGAATAAATAAGCTTTCCACTGATGTATGGTTTGTTAGGATAGGACAATATTTAGCTGAGATACAACTACTTGAATATCTGGAATCTGAGGGTGCAAAAAGATCAAAATACTGAGAAAATTGCCTTTAAAGTTGTCCAAATGAAGTTCTTAGCAATCCATATTACTAATCAAAAATTAAGTTTTAATATATTTACGGTAGGAAATTTACAAAATATCTTCATGGAACATGATCTTTGCTTAATATCCTTATGATTTTTGGCATAAAAGAAAAATCGATAATTCTGAGCCATACAATGTATTGTTGGCTATTACTACAAATATACTCGTGCTACTTATGACTGGTTTTGTGGTCCAGGTACACAAATATAACCACAAATTCCATTAATCAAGATAAGGCTGGAATACACTACACAAGTTTTGCTCACATTTGTGTCTGAATGAGTTGACGCTAGTTGATGAAAGCCAGAGCCAGAGTCAGAGTTGATGGATTTCACAGAAAATCACATTGTGTATGAAGAGCACATATTTAGCTTCAGACTATGATTCCATCCAGTCAGAGGATATCAAACATATTTTATATTTTTAGTCAGTTTTACAACACAAGTTTTAATTTGTCGCAAATCCTAGCAAGGATGCACATTAGTTTAGAATGCCTTGAAAGTCTTAATTGTGTGTATTCCTGTTCACACACAAATGTTAATAATTTGAAACAAAATAAGAGGGATCATGAAAATTGCATGTTATTTTTTATTTAGTACTGTTCTGAATAAGCCATTTCACATAACAGATGTTTACATATTGAACCCCTCTTTCCCGGGTCCTCTCTGCCACACCTCGTTCTTGTTCCGAGTGGGTCTCGAACCCAGGTCTCCAGCATTGGAGGCGGACGCACTAACAAGGTGGCTAAAGACTACAGCCTCTAGCATCAGTCGCTACTGCGCCTCTTGAGATCAGGGGAGTGAGGTTTACCTGCATAGCACCTACTTGCTGGCCTCCGTTACTTTCACCCCCCCTAAGCCTCACTCCCATCCGGGTCACGGCACCAATGTAACTCCTCTCTCCCGGGTCCTCTCCACCACACCTCGTTCTTGTTCCGAGTGGGTCTTGAACCTGGGTTTCCAGCATGGGAGGCAGACGCACTAACAAGGAGGCTAAAGACTGCAGCCTCTAGCACTAGTGTGCCTCTTGAGATCAGGGGAGTGAGGTTTACCTGCATAGCACCTACTCGCTGGCCTCCGTTACACTTATACTCCACAAAACAAAATAATAACTGAATTTATAAAAATGACCCCATTCAAAAGTTTACATACTCTTGAATCTTAAAGGGGTCATATGATGCGATTTCAAGTTTTCCTTTCTCTTTGGAGTGTTACAAGCTGATTGTGCATAGATAAGATCCCTGAAGTTGCAAAGACTAAAGTCTCAAAACCAAAGAGATATTCTTTATCAAAGTTAAGACTCTGCCACGCCCCCCTAAAACGGCTCGATCTAACACGCCCCCACATATCTACCTCACTATGTGGAAATATTAGCATAATGCGCCCAAATGTGCACGCAAAGAAAGAAGGCGTGGTTTCAGTAACCGCAGTTAGTGTTGAAGCAGCATGTCAGGGAGACGCTGTGTGTTTCTAGGCGAAAGCAAAAGCACTTTATTTGGCCTTCCGAAAGTAGATGCATTTAGGAATCTTTAAGATCACTTACAACAGAACAG